TAGATATATCTACATATATATATACATAAATACATATATACATACATAGATACATAGATACACATAGATAGATAGATAGCTAGATATATATATATATATATATATATATATCCAGAAATATCAATAAACACAATACACCTTGCCGTACAATTCGTAGGCGAACTTCACACGAGTTACCTCTGGATTTTTTCTGCGGAGGGCCTGTAGCTCACACGTGTCATCGTCTTGTGTGTCGTTGATGTACTCTTCTTTCGTGTCATTGCCTTTTTTCGTGTTGCTAATATCCTCTTCTTGTGTATCGTTTGTGTTTTCTTCTTTCGTGTCATTGATGTTGTCAGTTGCAGTCCCATCGGTCACCGTAGCAGCTGTGACATCCATTTTCCTAACGCCTTCGCTTAGCGTGAGAGTCTGCTATGCGCTACAACGCTGATCCAACTATATAGATACCCGAGACCGCCAGCTAGATCACAAGTGTTTCTCCACTCCTGCGTCCTTACAAACACTTAATCTTCCTACACATGCTGTTGTAGATATATGCTCATGTAAGTACAGTATACGGCGTCTTTGTTGTGCTATATTCAATTTGACCGTGTTGACTAACTAACCATTTATCACCACAACCCAACTCGCAAGCACCAGCATGTATGTACAACGTTGAACGGCTGTGCTGTGACTGTGTGACAGTTGGGCCGCTTGTTAGTTGATTCAATTGGTGGGTCAGCAACTCAGCATCCATCACCCAGACCGAACAATCAACCCACCCAACAGTAAATGGGCCTCAACATTCTCCATATGTAGAAAGGGCGTGATACGGGACCAAATTATCCACTCAGTGTTGCCTCCCTGCACCTCGATTTTTGGACTAGGGCTACTTTCGCGGGGATTTAGGGTTATAGGGTTCTCACATCGTGCTGGTAGTAACGGCAAAAAGGATTACACACAAAGGGCACCATCGTCCGTAGTAAATTCATAGTACATGCATACATCGGTATGTTCATATTTTTAACTGTTTACATACATATTTATTTAAGGTGTTTGCAAGTATGTATGTATATTCATCCTGCAATAAGAGCTATACCTTTACACACTTCGCGTTTAGTAGTGAATAGTCCCATATGTGAGCGTCAGTCACCAGTAATCGATCACACCCACCGCCTGGTAAAGACTATCGCCCCTATACACACCTATTAATATGAGCCACCAAGACGAAGTCAGCGACCTCCTGGAAGAGGGCAAGGAATATCACCCCTACATACCCGTTAAACAACGCCGACAAGAACAAGATAAACAGCGCGAACGTAAGAGGAGGCGAGACCAAAGGTGTGTGATGGCACGTTGTAGTAGGTGTACGTATACGTATATGCAGGTGTGAATCAGAGGTAATGGGCTGTGTTTTAGAGTACCATTTCATCACCAGTGCGTGTCATTGAGGTCAGCAAAGTGTGAGCAATGTGAGTGTCGTAGAAAAGTATAATATTTTGAGAATGTTTCGTAGTCAAAAATATGTACGGAGGTCTAAGGAGAGCAGTTCATATTGCAATCACAGAAAGAGTGTATTTTTGGTAGTATTGGATATGACAAATATCACACCGAAACCCGATTCATGACCAGATGGCGAAACGCAATCGCTCGCAACAGTAGAGCGTGTGTGTGATTGTTCATGCCGAGATATACGATTGAACTTATATACAAGAGATAGTGTATAGTACCAACATCATCATTCGAGAGCAATAGAAAAATATAGAAGTTTATAGTTTTCAATTCTTTACTTTTGCATTTGTGCACTTATATATGTATACATATATGCATATGTATATAAACATATATAT